GTCGTCAATCTAGTCCTTTTTATGTAGTTCATAAAGACATTTGGGGTCCAGCACGAGTCAGAAGTATTTCTAATTTTCAATATTTTGTAATCTTTGTAGATGATTTATCCCGTATAGCTTGGTTATTTTTTTATGAAAGAATGATCTAAATTGCCTAAGGTATTTACCACCTTTTATAATGGAATTCTAGTTTAGTTTGATATATGTATCAAAATTCTTTGGTCTGACAATGCCCTTGAGAATATTGAATCGTTTATGAAAATCTTTTGTGTTGACCGAGGCATTATCCATCAAACCACTTGTTAGCATTCCTTCAAACAAAATAGTGTTGCTACACGTAAACATCGTCATTTGTTAGATGATACCTGCACTTTAATGTTTAACATTTATGTGCCAAAACGATATTAGGTTGATGTTGTTCTTATTTCAGTTTATCTGATTAATTGCATGTCTTCGTCTATTTTGGACAACAAATCTCCTTTCTCATTGCTCTATCCTAATACACAGTCATTTGGTCTCATTCCTCGTGTCTTTGGTTGTATTACGTTTGTTCACCTTTTTCGTTTATGTCAGGATAAACTTTCATATCGCTCGGTCAAGTGCGTTTTTTTTGGATATTCTCATACTTAAAAAGGTTATCATTATTATAATCTTTGTCACTCGTCAATACTATGTCAGTGTTGATGTTACTTTTTTTTTGAGTCATCTTCCTTCTTCTCTGCGCCCGGACATGCCCTTTCCCCAAATTTAGTATTTACGTGTTGTCCCAGACTCTGTCTCTTCTTCCCCAATTCTTAGCCTTTCCTTGCAGATTTGTCATCGCTCTAAGGACAGACATGTTGTTCCATATACTCCAACTCCACAGCCATCGCAAGATTCTATCGAGGTCTTATCGTCTGAGCCGTAAGCTACTTTATCATCTTCTGATTTACCTATTGCATTAAGAAAGGTACTCATAATTGTACTAGGCATCTCATTTCTAATTTTATTTCTTTGCATTGATTTTATTCATCCTCTCGTTGTTTTCAATCAACTTTGTCATCTGTGTTTGTTCCCAACTCCAATAGTTTTTAGAATTTTTCTGTATTCTTTTGTTATGAGACAAGTCCAACTGTTGCTTTTCTTGCTGCTTAAGACAGCATATATGTTCCATGACCATGCTCTCTTGTCTCCCATTTTTAATTTTCAGTTATTCGCATCTCAGGGCCGTGTGACATGCCTCATGTTTGTGTTAGAGATAATTGCTCTTAATGTCTTTGCTACACTCTTTGCAAGCTATGGATGCATAAACTGTTGAGGTATACGGGTCTTGTGACCAGAAATCTTCCAACATTGTATGCCATAGTACTTGTAGTGTTGATTGCTGAGGTATATAGTTCTGGCGAGCAGAAATTTTTGACAATGTGTTTCATGGCATTATTGTGTAATCCATAACTGTAGGTTCTACCTAATTGTCTTTTCTTTTCGTCTTTATTTCCAACCATCCATCTGTTAGGTCCCATAGTTTGAAAAGTAAAGTAACTTATGTGTTTGGAAATCAATAGGTAAAGGGAGCTTTGCAATAAAAAAGTTGTTNTGTGTTTGGAAATCAATAGGTAAAGGGAGCTTTGCAATAAAAAAGTTGTTTCAAACTTTCAACACAACTAGTTAGAGGTATTTTATCATGTCTAAGAACTAAGGGCATTCCTACTTTTTCCTTGCTTTTGTTTCTATGGTGTTTTATATGATCTAGGAATGTCTGTAGGTTTTTTCAGTTTAGTCTCCTGGAGTATTAGGTGCTATACATAATTATTCATGTGCNAATGTCTGTAGGTTTTTTCAGTTTAGTCTCCTGGAGTATTAGGTGCTATACATAATTATTCATGTGCACTGTATCTCAATAAATTTTAATGTCTTTATGGTCACTGCCATCAATTGGACTAAATCCTTGTTGCCATGATTTGCTGTTGGTTTTGCTTTTTCAGTTGATTAGTGATTAATTTTACACTCATGAATTTGGTGTAAATTTGTTCATATTTTAAAATCGATCTGTACGAATGCTATATGCATCAAGTTTGACCTTTAAACTTTCATTTTATTGTTGGATGATGGGCATATGTTTTTATCTATAGGCACTATGCTTATGAATAAATTTTGATGTGTCTATGGTCACTGTCATCTATCAAAAGACCCTTGTTACCTGAACTTTGTTGTTGATTTTAGTTTTTGTTTGGAACAATGGTTAATTTGACACTTAAAACTATGGTCATAAATTTGTTATTGTTCAATCTAGTATTATAATGTTAATGAACTTTATGAATGCTATAGCTTTTGTTTTATTTTCATTTTTAAGTGTTATAAGAAAGAAGGATCCTTGAATCAACGGACGTGTAACATGATTTCGATGAGGTATTTTCTCCTGCTGTTTTTCCTAATTGGGTCATAGCTAGTGGTAAAGCTTATGTTTGAAATCAGACATGCAAATAACTGGACTATATCGTTTGTTTTACGCAAAAACTCTTGAGGTATTGAGTAATTCCTCATGATTGTTTGCATGAGAAAATGCAAGAAGTTATATACCCAATTATGCTTGTATATTAAGATCCTAAAGTTTTTAGGATACACTCTTATATCCTCCCTTTCTTTCCCTTCATTTATATATTTTTTTCCTTTATCTTTTGATATAAGTAATGTCTCTTGTTAATCTTTTATTTAGCATGTGCATATTTTTCAGTCACGGTTGAGATAATGTTAATGCAATTTCCTTCTTTTTTGTACACATTTAGTGTAGGAATCTCAGAGTCTCATCTTTGATGCCTGCTTCTTCTACCTCCACGTGAGTTAAGCTGCATATATGAACCCATGCCAAACATTACAACACAATTATAACTCACGAAAATAGCGCAAACACTTTGTTTTGGATTATGCACTTATGATTCACAACTAGAACATTTTGTTGTACGGAATTATATGATGGTCAAATCGCCACTTGAACTTTCCCCAAGGTTTCTGTTATATATGCCATGATTAGCCTTTACAGGTGAGGCCTTTAACTCTCTACAAAGTTGGGCTTCAATTCCTTTTCTGACATTCTTGTATGCTTTGTAATGTACTTGGTGGTTATTTTAAAATGCAATTATCTTCTGCTTGTTGTTTGGCTGTTGACTCCATTATCCTATTCCTTGGTTTTTTGCAGAAGTTTTACACTCTTTTTGTCGTAGTTTTTGTGATGCACTGTTTGCGACCTCATCACAACGAATGCTAATTCATTTTATTTGCTTTGTTATATGTTTCCTACTAAGGCAGAAAATGTTTGAGATTTATATTGTTTGTTTGAAAATTACCATTAGCATTGTTTTTCATTCTCTTAATGAAACATGATATGCCATGATATGTTCCCTAGCAATGTAAATAGATTTGATTTATGTCTTCTTCGTTATCAATGTTGCCATTTGCATGGGTTCTTGAGTGCGAGCGCATGTGAATGCTTGTGTTTGTGTAGTAGTTCTGGTGATGCATATCATGTATTCCCTCATCACAACGAATTTTATTCGTTTATTTTGCTTTGTTATATGTTTTGTACTGAGGCAGAAAATGTTCAAGATTTATGTTGTTTATCTGAACATTACTATTGGCATCATTTTTCATTCTCTTGATGAGAGCGTTGTATGCCATGATATATTTCCTATCAATGTAAATAGGTTTGATTTGTCTTTTTCGTTATCAATGTTGCCATTTGCATGGATTCTCGAGTGTGCAATCATCATGCTGAGTGCTCGTATATGTGAGCGTGTTCTCCCTTGTCACCATTGTCATTCATCTTGTCCTAAAATTTGTACCAAGTTGATTCTATATTTTGATTGCTTATGATATGAGCTTAATATGGTGGGAAAGAACTGCAAATGCTCACACTCTATTATGAGGAAAAAAATGTGTCTTTCGTTGTTTCGTCATATGCTACTACTAACAATCAGTTCATTGATCAAGTGCTTTACCTTGTAGAAAACAGCAATGCATCTCATATTTAAGTTTGATAAATAGGGCATAATTTATGGATCTGAATGGTTCACTGAGGTATATTTGTAGCACTATCGCCCTCTGCCGTGGTCGTATTTGGCATTGTTGATGACATTTTTTATTTTTTATTATTGTCTATGGTTGTAAATTTGTAGTTGTCCTTCAAAATAAATCGTGTGTTTAGTAGTATATATGCATGTAAATAAAAGTGTATAATTTATAGACAAATGTTTATAGATTACTTCTGTTGAGCGTAATTGTGAACTTTGTTGATCAAAACAATAGCTGCAGTACATGGGGGGTTTCTATTTTATCAGAGACGCTCATTTTTGTCTGTCAACTTCTTGCTCGCATGCATCTCTCTCTCCCTCTCGTATAATGAACTTTAAGCTGGAGGGTTATAGTTTTGAATCTTATCATGCATTGGCTGATGTCTCAACCCACCATGATCAGAAACTTGAGGCCACTGAATTATATCATATATTCTAGGTTTTGGAGGTGTACACGATGACAAAACCCGGTGTAGTGTTAAAATGCTCCGCCACGGCGCATTTGTTATTGATTTTTATTTATTTATTTGTTTTAGTATTATTGGTAGGTGATATTATATTGCCTTGTCTCGTGGTATTATTGTTGTAGTGAGAGAGAGAGAGAGAGTGCACCACGCATACACACACCATTAGAGAATGTGTTTGTGTGTGTCTATTCTTTAATTCCACCATTCTTTATTAGAGTAATGTTGCATAAATTTAAAAATTAGACTTAAAAAGTAAACTTAATAATTATATTCATTGATTTTACTGTGAGTTTCAACATTTATTAGAATTCACTATCTCAATGGTTATGATTTTTAAGTTTACATTTTAGAGTAATGTTACATAAATTTAAAAATTAGACTTAAAAAGTAAACTTAATAATTATATTCATTGATTTTACTGCGAGTTTCAACATTTATTAGAATTCACTATCTCAATGGTTATGATTTTCAAGTTTACATTTTAAGCCTGTGTAACATTGTTCTTACTTACCAACTCAAGCCACAAACAATAAAATCAATAGTAAAGATGCCTAAATACCTTAACCAAGTGCTTGTTATGGTAGAAAACTGAGGAATGCCAATTTAAACAGTAAGCAAGATGCCTACATCATCTTCTGGCAATCTGGAGGAGAAAAATATAAAATAAATAAACACACAAGAAACACTTCACCTACTCTTTCACCTTTCTTTGCAAGAGTTCCAATATCAGGACACACTTGTGCCAGTGAGATCAACTTGTGCCACTGCTGTGTTGATCGCATCGATGACATCCATCTTTCCCCTACTCACTGCCTCATCCATAGGAGTCCTTTCGTGGCTAAACATGCATCCAACAAGAAAATGACACAAGTTTTAAAAACAAATTGTTGACATATGAATCATGTTTTCTTTCAAATTCAGCGGGGTAGATGAGTGGATCATGCTTTCCCCATGATTTAGTGTGTTGATTTCGTGTGATCAACATGATTCTACAGAAAGCTTGTTTTGAACTCGCAGTTTTACATTGAAAAGCATGCGTTTACAACACTCGTATAGAAATCATGGTAGATTGGGCAACAACGTTAAAAACTAACATAAAGGAGGTAAAAAAGTTAGCACATAACTGTATTTCAGAAGCTGATTCGTCTTAGTATTAATAATCCATATACCATGTCAGACAATAACACACCTGTTCAAAGCTGATACACTAGCCCCCGCAAGAATCAAACTCTTGACCACCTGAAAAGGCAAAACTCATCAAAACTTGAGAATATTCAAAATGATTGACAGGCTAAAGAAAACACAATTATCACCTCAATGTGCCCATTGAGGCAAGCCCAATGAAGCGGTGTATTCTTCTCCACATTAAAAGCATTAACATCCTGTTTTCATTGATGCAACAAACTTGTGGTTACTTGCTAAGAAAATAATATAGAGATTACAGGACAGAAGTAACTTGGGGAACCCGAATGAAACAACTTTTGCCAACTCTGACAAATAAGAAGATTGGAAAAATTCAATTACAAGAATTGAATATTGCTGGAAGTTTAAAAAGAATGTTGGACAAATATGCAATATCATACAGAAACGGTGGTCAAGGCTGTGTATGGTGTCCTAGAGACTAAACCGCCATTGAACCAAAATAACACGAACCAATTACACCAATAATTCATTCCCCTACTATTCAGCTTGTAGACCACAATTTTTCTTCATCACCATCAGATTGGTCAGCCCATGCAATCACTATTCTCTTTTTCTATTCTTTACTAAATTATAAGATGAAGCATGGTACATTAAATCACTTGATTTTTCTAAACAAGAAGAAATTCAGCCTGCAACTTTCCAAGCTGGTTGAATGAATAACCATCCAAGAATTTTAAATCATTCAAGCAAGAGAGTGCAACAATCATCTTCAACACTGGTTCAGCAAAATAGAGAAAAAAAATTCTCTCTCTTGCATGATATTAGGACAATAGATAAAATAAGTCAATCCGTTGAAAGACATATTTTTCACAAAGCAACCGATTATCAATCAGTTGAAGTATATAAAGAAAGTGTGAANCTTGCACGATATTAGGACAATAGATAAAATAAGTCAATCCGTTGAAAGACATATTTTTCACAAANTGCATGATATTAGGACAATAGATAAAATAAGTCAATCCGTTGAAAGACATATTTTTCACAAAGCAACCGATTATCAATCAGTTGAAGTATATAAAGAAAGTGTGAAATAATTCTAAAGGCTTCCTCACCACTCCATTACTGATAAGATANAAGCAACCGATTATCAATCAGTTGAAGTATATAAAGAAAGTGTGAAATAATTCTAAAGGCTTCCTCACCACTCCATTACTGATAAGATAGTTTACAACATCAAGATGCCCATTTGCTGAAGCCATATGAAGTGCTGCAAGCATATAATAGTTCAACCATAACAAAACAAAATTAGTACCAAGTCAGCAGAAAGAACAATTCAGTTCTAGTAACTAGGATCATTAATATTTACCCCCCAAAAAAATAACTAGGATCATTAATGAATTCAAAAATCCATATAAGATTACTGTAGAGAATAACTCATGGTCTAGAAACTGGAGAAATAAGCATCAGTAATTCAGGCAATCATAATCGTCAAGACTCAAGAGCATCCATGATTTCATCCAATTAGGAGTGGTCTTTCAATCATGATTCGGTCTGTTGGGAGCTTGAGCCAGTTGCTGCTTTTTGGTGAGTATAGCAGTTCACTTGTTAGTGGAACCTCCAAACATTTGAGGGTAAGAAACCTCTTCTGTCAAAACATAGTCAGACCCTAAAGTAGTGGGTTCAGATTACAGGAGCTGTTACACAAAAGAATCCCAATAATCCATGGTGAATGTGAGGTGTAGGGGAGTCCAGAATGCAATAGAGTAGGTTGACAAGGTTTCATACATAGGTAAGCATTGTTTCCAACAGGTGCTCTGAGGACTTAAAAGAGAAAAGGGAAAACAAGAAAACATGCTAAGGAGAGAATGTACAGAAGAACTATTTTAGTGACAAGGAGCTTTTGAAGGCCAAAGTGAACTGGTACAAAGAGGCATTCACAAGAGGGTTTGGTGTTCAAGTTTTGTGCTATGTGTCCTTTTCTGAATTTGGGGCATGGTTACTTGTAGAGGAATTTGGAAAAGAAGGGCCTTTGAAAAGGGAAAAGTGTGCCCACTTTGGCTGAAATGCTAGTGGAGGCTTCTGTTGAGTAAATCTTGCGTGTAGGTTACTAGTACAGAGAACATGGGTATGAAGTTGAGTGACATGGGTCAGAGGTGTGTATTAAATCGGCAATAGTATCTCCCATTTTCGGCCCGATCATGGCATAGCAGCCCATATTGGGTCCCCACGACATGACCTATCGACGAAACCACATGCAATACCATTTACAAATATGTTGGGCCTTGCTCTCTAAACCCAGAAGTTTCGGTACCAATTTGCCTCCCACAAGATCACATAGCTTATCAGGCATGGTGGTGGAATGAACTCATGCCAGAGTTTCATTGCACATGATCTAAGAGAGTGTGATGGCCACATACAAGCGTTTCGCTGCAACTCTACCCAAGTTTGGGACAAGGAGTAGAACGTACCGCGCCTATTCCATATTGGACATAACTAACCAGCAGCCAGGCAAGCTATGAACCACGGGCACTCTCAAGAAGGTGACGTATCCGTGTCGGACACGTATCGGACACCGACACTCTTCGGACACTTTTGAAAACATGTCCGATATTTTTTATCCGTGTCCATAATTAAATAATAAAATTTTAATTTCGGACACGTGTCCGACACTTCTTTGGTAACGTGTTCGACAATTCTTTAAAACATATCTACTACTAAATAATAAACATGTGTTGAAATGTGATTAACAATACTTAAAAATTTGAGAACATATAATTATAAACACTAGACATGTTAAAGTTATACTTTAAATATAGTAATAAAAACAAAAGATGTATAAAAGTTCTAAAAAAAAAGAATTGAGAAAATGAGAGAAATTATATATTAAGTACACATTGTCTACAAAAAAAAAATTGATAATTATTGACTATTTTGAGGATGCTTGTGTAAAAATTCACACTGATAACTAGACATAAGATTTAATTATCATAAAATTTTGAATTTTTCATGAATTATATATCATTATCACTATATTTGCAATAAATTATATAATGTTATATATAAAATATAATTTTTTGTACGTATCCCCAATGTGTTTGTTTCCTTTTTTTAAAAATGTCGTCTCAACGCGTCCGTGTCGTGTCATATCTGTGTCCCGTGTCCATGTCCATGCAGCTTAGCAGGCAAGATGTCCCTAGCGTGTCTATCCAAGTTGAGCGTGGGACCTCAAGGATAGCTGATGTAAGAAAGTGAGAGCAGCGGATCACCTCCTGGGGCATTGTTATTCTGCGTTTGCATGTTACATCTAGAAGAGTGACAACAGGAGCAACCACTAAGAGCTTTGTCCAGCACCTGTTTAGGTTGTCGTAGCCTATGTATTATCTCTCGCTGCAAATGGGCCACCTTTAATAATCTCTGAGAGAACTTACTTATACATTATACCTACCTCGTCTCATTAGGTCTGACAAAAAAGTATGCATCCTTCTCATTTAAATCAAATGCCCATTCCCAGTTTTGGCATAATGCATTAGGCTAAATTAACCAGAGAAATCTCAGAAATTGCAATTATGACAACATATGCAATACGGTCAATACCTAATATCCAACTTCCAAATAAATCTAGGCAACAAGCATAACTCATAAACTAAGTACACAAGCTAAAGCAGATATGAGTGAAAACATCTCATATTTTGTATGTATAAGCTCCCTCATGTCAACACATGGAAGACACTCTACACTTGCGGCACATCTTGGGTAACAAATAGTTGTATCAAATAAAATTACACCTTTTCTGTATCTTCATTATTTACTGGATACGAGCACAATTTGTGTATACAGTTACAAGGAGCTAATAAAAGCAATACACCGTTAGCATAGTCTCCATGCTCATTGGTAAGAATCATCCAACAAAATAAAGCATCATCAATATATAAACGACCTAATGCCCTTCCAGAAACCTTATTATCCCACTTGAGTCAACTCATTATCACGTTTTCGTCACAGTTTTCCAGCTCTTTTACTTCCAAAAGCAGTAATACCGACAGGAGTTGAGGAAATTAACTAACGTGGACAACCAAGATTCTGGATTAACTAACCAATCTATTCAACCTTTTCCAAAGTGTTGATAACTGAAATAGAGGATGAACATATAATAAAACAATTAATGCCAACGAATTATCCTACTATGTTCAGAGCTAATGCAGGGAATTACTCTGACCTGTTCGGCCCTGTGAGTCTGTAGAATGAAGAGAAACACCAGCAGAAGACAAGCTCATGACATCATCAATATCGTCAAACCTAGCAGCCTGTTAAAGAATAAAATCAAAATTCAATAACTGATTGACTGTGCTCATAGCCATTAACAGTTGATCATGTTACTACAATGTTGTACTTGCTGTGGTCACTGGCCAAGGAAGTTTTATACTACTGATAGGCTGCCAACTAAACAAAGCATACCCTCATCAAAATGCCCAAAGTATCTCGAATAGATTTATTGATCAATAACAACTAGCATTCATTCTTGTCATTGATTTCAAATTACAAATAATTTGTTTTGACATTTTCACCACCCAAAAAGGGACATTAAATTCCTCCCTTCTTGTGTTGTTATCAGATCAAGTTTTTAGTCAGTAAGACTTCCAATACCAAACTCAACTTTCAAAACAATATCGCATAGTTGCTAGGCGTAGTTTGTAAATTGGCTCAGTCATTCACCATTGGAAACACGACAAGCCCAAGCCAGTAGAGATGGTTTAGCCATATGCGATGAATAGCAAGAAGCAAAAAAACCATGATAAACTAAAAATGGAGGCAAAAAACAAAAGCTGGTCAAGGCTATGAAAATGGCATGGACTCTTCTATAAACATAGAGGAAATAGTCATCCTGCTAAATGGGGAAGATTAGTTAGAATAACGGTTTCCTGTGAATAGTGAATATGCTTAATTTCTTTTTCCCAGGATTGTTCTTTACTCTACAGTTTTTGGAACCCGTGTATAATAACAAAGAAGATGTCTGTGCTAGATGGGTAACTTCCCGGTCAAAAAGTCCTGAAGCTTTTAGTAAGTTGACGAAAGAGATCATCTAGAACATATATTTCGAGAATGCTAGGTGAACTGATACAGATCTGGCCTTTAGCATCATTTGCACAAAGCACTCATATTCAAAATATGATCCAGTGATCTCATAATGTTAGCACAAACATGACAAAATTTATAGAACTTTCTCTTATTTCCCTTTATTTATTCAACAATCAAAAATGCAATCAATCACTTTTGTGAATATTAACCCCCACACAATTGGGCAATGTAACCAAGTGATCATAGTTTGTGGGTTTGACTCTAAAGCAACTATAGACCCCTGAATCTCAAATAACAGTTAGAAAGATAAACTGAAGACCATAAATTTAGTCTTCCTATAAGGGTTCCAACAACACGCCACTAAAAGGTCATAACAAGTGTGTGAGGTGGGTGGGTGTCGATGGGTACATCCTCCAGGAAAAAAAAAA